CACTCTTTTCCGCAGCCGCTAGGTTCTGAAGCATTGCCGCGGGGAGTCTTATGTCCGAGGAGAAGGGATCAAGATGGACAACAAGTGTGTCTGTGGCTGCTGCAAAGAGAGTGGTACTCGTACTCCCAACGTCGTATGTGATGGCCGTCAGAATGGCACATGTTGGGCAATCGGAAAACATAGGAAAAGTGGTGGCAGCACTCTTGAGCCGAGTTTCGTCATAGCCACCTACGACAAGAAGACCTTCCTGTGGAGTTTCTTCGGACTCGGATCCAGCCCACAGTCCGTAAGTTGTGGAAGAAGCTTGGCCTGAATCAACGAGGTAGTTCAGAAAGCTTGAGTCCATGCCCAGAGGAAGAGTCGCTCTGTGATCTCGATCATTCTTCAAGAACGCTTCAGCGCTGGCTGCTGTTTGTTAGCGTGGTTTGTGATTGATCTCACCACCGCCGACTCACTGTCTTTGGAACCATTGGTCCGCATGGGGAAGGATGCAAACTTGTTCGTAGCTGGTTTGAGACCGAAAGCTGCAGCATCGTTGAAGAAGATGGAAGAGCTCCCTGACGCCAGTCCGACCGAATCTCTACTGCCTGGCCAGGTTGCGTAGTCGACCTCTGCAAATGTGGTAGAAGTTGCGCTGTCATAGATGCCACCAAGCTGGCCGATGCAGCTACTGTTGGTGGCAGCCACGCATTCCGCTGCATTATTAAGGAATATGTTGTTTGAGAACGTCGAGGGCGTCAAGGAGAACGACTGTGGAGGAGTGCCGATAGCGAACGAAATACCCCTGGGATAGGATTTTGCCGGTTGCAGACACTGTATTGTTGGTCCAGGGCAGGAGCAGTGGGACAGAGCCGTTGGCACAAGCCATGGTGACCTTGATTGCCTCCTAAGAATCGCGAATGTGGTGTAGAGTATGTCTTTCGATCACAACCTTGGAATGTCCGCATGAGGTATTCCCAGATGCGATTGTCCTTGATTTGAATGGGTACAGGGCTCTGTGACCCGGGCCATGATCTCCCATAACCGAGCAAGGTCCCCTGGGCTCCAAGATTGGGCTGCGATCGAGAGGGACTGACTAATGACGCAAGAAAAGGTTGCGGATTGGGCCATGAACTATCCCAGTGCCGTCTCAGGACGATGCTGGGAGCTCTGTTGATGCTCACACTATTAAGCACCTCATTCCATGTTGCTTGCAGTGCGAATTATCATTCTTCTCTTTGTCCTGCTCTTCTTCGTCTCAACCATGACGTCAAGCGGTCTGTGCACCGTTCCAGTCGGGGTTCTGTGCGCGTCGTTGCAATTTGGTTTCCTTGAAAAATGTGAAGTTTTTAGAGTCGCTTGCCTGCAAAGGCCCGTTTACTAGCATTTGCCGGTGTCAGAGATGTTGGGAGTCGGTCCGTCAAAGTCGGAACATTGAGTGCCATGTGCCTGAGCCGCACATCGAGCCAATAAGCGACAGCTAATTTGCTAGCGTTCTCCGGGGAGAAAATCCCGTCTGCAGGACAGTCGCAGATCGTTCGCGTCGAGCACTTCGCCGATCTTGTTGCCCAACTCGTGACCTGATCATCATCAGTAAGCGAGCTGCGATCTAGGGGTATGGCAGCTATGCATATCTATGGCAGCTATGCGTGGTGTTTTGGTGTTCGTGAATCGTGGGCGCGAGGCATTGTTAGGCTTGTACCCTCCGGTTGTCTCGACGAACGCCAAACCTCAGGCTGTTTTAGGGCTCACACCCTCAATATCCCCCACCGCACGCGATACACTTCGCTGCACCTCATGCAATGCGCACGCTATGTGCCGTTTCGTAGATCATGTACTCTAGAGCTTACAAAATTATAGATGCGATGCAGTGCAGATACCATCCTGCACCTCGCAGTATTCTTTGCGCCTAGGTATATGAATCTATACTGCCATGCGCACAAGTGTGCAACTTTCCATCCTGTGCGCACAAATGTCCTACCTTGTCCGTTGTTCGTGCGAGCGTATTTGCACGAGGAAGGCATGCAGGCGCAACAAAGAACATGAACCATGATGACACAGCGTTGAGAGAGATAAGCCACACGCACTGGGCCGGCGCAGTCGGTCGGAGGGTTCCTGGCCATGCAAGGTAAGCAGGTTGCGCAACTTCCCGCTGTGAGACTTCCATTTCCGTCCTAGTCTACCCCAATCGGTAGTGAATGAAGCTGCTGGCCTGCGGCGAACAAGGCAGCGAAGACACATCTTTGTCGGCCTGCGGAGCGACAACACGCCGCAAAGACCGCTTTATCTGAGCATATAACCTGCACCTCTACCAGACTCTACAGCATCAAAGCCTATCAACCCTTGAAAATCGCAATTGCCTCTACTCCATCATGTCTCCCACCGTCGTACTGATCTCTGGCGCCAGCCGTGGTCTGGGTCGTGCCATCTTCGAGCGATACATCGCCCGTCCGAACCACATCGTCATCGCGGCAAACCGCAACCCAACCGACTCGAACTCACAGGAGCTGCTCGGTTTCAAGACTGGCGAAGGCAGCAAGGCCATCCTAGTCAAGGTGGATGCCAACGTAGACACGGACGCGGCGGAAGCTATCAAGGAACTCGACACCAAGCACAACGTCGATCACATCGACATCGTTTACGCTAATGCGGGCATCGCAACAATCGTGCCCAAGGCCTCCGCCGTCACGATAGCAGATCTGAAAGCACACATGCAAGCTAATGTGTATGGCCTCGTCACCCTGCTCCAGGCCACACTCCCGTTGCTCAAGAAAGGCACAAACCCCAAGTGGGTGACCATGGGCTCGCAGTCTGGATACTTGACCAACTTCCTCTTCTTCCCTAACGCCGCATATGGTCCTTCCAAGGTGGCTGCGCACTGGCTGACACGTGCGCTGCACGACGAGGAGCCGTGGCTGACGTCCATTGTCATCGATCCTGGGTATGTTTCATGTTCATCATATACTCTTAATTGCTTACATCTATATCTAGACGTGTGCAAACTGACCTTGGCAATGCTGGTGCGGTGATTGCAGGCAAGATGTTCGGCATCGAGGGCATGGACAAAGCCGAGCTGGAAATTCCCACCAGCGTCAATGGCTTCGTCAAGGTCGTCGACGATGCTAGCCACGACACCCACAGCGGCAAGCTTTGGACTTGGGAGGGAGAGGCGGTCGCATGGTAGAGGATGTATTGAAGAGACGTTCTTATTCATCGATCATTCACAAGTTGTTTCCCAGAAACGATCAAAAAAAAAGCTCATTCGCTACATGAATGTACGTAATGCGATCTAGCAGGCGTGAATAACTTCACATCCTGTATCTACTCAAATACTCAATGTAAATTTCTTCTAGGACACGGCCAGCTAGCAATGTGGGTGAACGCGGCACATTGCCAAGTGAAGTCACGACAAGAAAGTCCCTATACAACATACGTTGCAGTTGAGATATCTTGAAGCCTTTTCCTTTGCAATGAAGCATGGACTACCATTCATAAGGCGACAAGACACCGTCACATCGTACAATCTGCGTGGCACAAGATTGCATCTACATTAATCCGTATCAAGATGTGGCTTCATATGAGTCAGCTCGCCGGAAGCTCGCCTCAACAATTTTTTTCTGCATGTTTCACCAAAGCAGACATCGATGACACTCTCGCAAAAGTCATATGTGTCAGTGTAACTTCACCGTCAATTTCACTGAGAATACAGCTGTAATCCTGCCTGTGGCAAATACAGGCCCAAATGTCAAATCGCGTTCCAGTCTATAAGCATAACTACGTGTAACCCTCCCAAAGCGACCGAATAAAAGTATGAGAAGCGACACTAATTCTGATCAACGTTTCACAAATGCCACTAAAACATAGTCTGATTTGCGACACACAACCTCCCATCGGACTCGACTCTCCAGAAATCGCTGCCCACAGACGCAGGCCCATATAACAAGTGCGTCGGGTCGTACTTCCTCTTCACTTCCAACAACCTCCCGTAGTTTATTCCAAAGTAGTCTTCCTTCCACTCAGGGTTCGTCGCCACCGCCTCGTTGACATACGATCCCGACCCGGGGCTCAAGTCTTTGAACATGTTCTGGTTGTCCAGCATTTGGTCTTGGAGAACTTGCAGCTCCGACAAGGGACTTACAGGATCCCAGTATACATCCAGAACTAGGGCGTACAGAGAATCGCGCCAAGAAGGAAAGACGGCGTTGGTGGAAGGAGTGTTACCGACGCGGGCGTGCGAGACGTTCCCGACGATGCCGTTGATTTGGAAATCGGCGTTCGGCAGCGATGCGATGGAACGCATCTTTTCGATTAGGTCGGGGAGGTGATCTTTCACTGCGGAACCTGGGATGAAGCGGCTCCCTACAACATCGTTTGTAGTGTGTGTTCCATATGGAGCGCCGGGCGTGTAGCGAAGATGGTGAGCGAGGAAGTCAGGTTCATAGGATGTGAAGTTGGAGTATGTGATGTTGAGTGCTTGCAGGCGCGTGACGAAGGGATTGAGAATCGTGTTGATGGTATCGGTCTGGCCGTCCGGTAGGGTGAGGAGGATAGTGAGCTGCCCATTATTCATGTTCCATTCTGTTGTCAGGTCCTGGACCGCTTGGAGAGCAAAGTGCTGCTCCTGCCATGAGGTCATCGCGGCCCAGAATACTTCGTCATTGGTGTTGTTGAAGCTGAGGTAGCCTCCAGCGACCGCGCCATCACGGTGGGCTCTGGTGGTCTGCGAAACAACTATTGCGTATGCGCCGCCACCGCCACCATTCATCGCCCAGAAGAGGTCGGCATTTTGTGTTGGCGATGCAATCTTGTACTCTCCATCACTCGTCACGACTTCAAACTCAAGCGTATTGTCTGCTGCCATGCCGTACTTGCCCATGAGTAAGCCATGGCCACCACCGGAGACGTAGCCACCTGCTAGTCCGACAGTTGGGCATAGTCCACCGATTACACGCAAGCCTTGCTTGTTCGCAGCGCCGTAAACCTCATAAGCCTGAACGCCAGCGCCAAGCTTAACAGCCGGGCCAACATATAGCGGACTGCTGTAATTGGAAAAGCTCATAGTCTTCAGATTGTGGGTCCAAAGCGACAAGGACCCCATACCATTGGAACGTCCAAGATAGTCATGACCAGTGTTCTTGATGATGAGGCGTATGTTCTTCTCTCGGGCGAAATTTATACCGGCTTGTATATCTTCCGTGCTGCTGACTGCTATGGCATACGAAGGCGAGTTTCCAAGCGTGCACTGGCCAGAGCTAGAGCTGTTCTTGATGAACGGTGTGCACGAGTCATTCAGATAGTATGGCGACATGACAGCGAACGGGTCCCGAAAGCTGCGTAACACCATCAGTCAGCGTCTTCATTTCTGTACAAGGTGATAAATCTCACTAAGGCTCCGGTGTGATCCACTCCTCCTGCACCTTAGAACATGCTACTGCATCACGGGTTGTTCCGTAACATGGTTGCGCTAGAGGTTGCGCAGAAATAAGACGACCACCGACAGTCTGGTTCAGTAACTCCCATTCGTTGAAGCTGGGCCAAGAGACATCTCCTGGCATGTTTCGACAGGATGAACTGTTCCCGGTTCTTGGGTAACGTGGTATGGATGCTGCATTGGCACCAGGAAGGGGTAGTACAGCGAATATAGCCGCTACCGTGAACGGTAAAAGCTGCATCTCAACGGGAATAAACGAGGATTCGGGTAAAATAAGCAGAAATACCCCTGGCGAAAGTAACGAACTTGAAAATCAACAGGATATGCACGATGGAGAGCCATGTGTACATCGGACGTCCAAAATCTTTTATACTGAGATAGTGAGCCATCTGAAATTCCTTCCCGTCGCCTTCTCTAAGACAGTGAGCGTGCTGCATTTGGCGGCTTCAGCCACCAACAGACAACGAGACCACGAAAGCTCGTGGCTTGTTTGTCCTAGCGGGGGTTTGTGTGAGCCTCAACTCCGATAACTACCTGGCCCTTCGCGAAGATTGAGCCTCATGGGCTCTGCTGCGGCAGCAAACCCTGCGAAAACAAGGTCTCGAAGCTGAGTGGCGTGTAGCCACGCGAACCGGAGGAAGCGTAAGACATGATTACCTTGCAGCTGACCCCGGCAGCTTACCATGCATGAGCAGGAGATCGTTCGTTTTGATGTTGCGCTTACATCAATCATTGAAGAAGTTCCTTGCGCTTCGGAGTCGGTGCAACAGGATGTTGATCATTGTAATACATGATATTCGACATTGCATAATCACGTCAGGCGATCGTGCTACCTCGCGTGAGAGTAATCTCTCTAAGTTCATTGACGCAATGGAAGAGTGCATCAGGCTCCAACAGGGTCCTGGTAGTACAAACGAGGTTAGCTCGATTCTACCTTTCGCCACCTAACAGTAAGCTCAAGCGAAATACCTCGGCTTGGTCGGAATTAGTTCATTCGTCAAAATCCCCGCCGGTCGTGTCGATCCGTAAATGTAAGACGGCATAACGCATTATACCGGACCCGGTAGTTGAATATGCAGTGCTCGTATCAATCCTCGAAGCTAATTGTACACAGCTACGCGGGTTTCCGTGGTCACTGATAATCGAATTTCCTCCACAGCTGCTTGTAGATTTCAATCCTCAGTCTGGAGCGTGATTGCAAGACGAGAATGGAAAAGAAACGCATTCGGCAGTAGCAATAATAGTTAGTTCAGCCTAGGCCTTCTCACCTGTTTTCCTGATGTGTCCAGAGTATCTTGGTACACTCGCGTGTAGGCGCATGGATACTCTAGACCTAGCATATTCGGTCAGCAAAAGATTTAATGGTGTACGAGAGCATGCTATGCCATGGCCGCTTCAAAGTACTCATGATGATACACAAATTTACTCCACTAGATTGCGATATGTAGTGCTCATGCCTCATGCACCTTGTTAACAGCTAATCTTTGCTCAATTCGTCGTTCGTCTCTTGTCCCCACTTCCTTGAGCATGGATTTGCCCCAAATTGTAGTAACAACAATACAGCCTCCTCAAATTCTTCATCAATGGCGATGTGTAATTGTGTCCGCCCAGAGTCATCGTAACTTTCGAGTAGCCGGGTTCTCTCGTCTCCATGGGGACACCGATCTAAAAGCATCCGTAGTAATTTTTGCCGCCGATGTAGAACAGCATGATGGAAAGCCGATCGATTTCGTCGGTCTTGTATCGAGATCGATGCCCCATGTACCAACAGCAAACGGACCATTTCCTCGCTTCCACTCATGACAGCATGCATGAGTGGGGTGTGACCGTCGCTGTCTTGTTCGTTGCAATCCGCGTTGTGCTCCAGCAGTATCCTTGTGATTCGAGTCTGGCCTTTTAAAGAGGCCATATGCAGTGGGCTGAGCCATTTGGGAACATCACTCCCGATGTCGCTGGGACTACTGGAGGCTCGTGAGGCTGAAGTCTCATGCCAGGAAGCCTGGTTCCCCCCCATATGAGCACTACTTTCAATGGAAGTAAGGTGCGTCTCATTTTGTGGTGGACTGGCTGCCGCACTGGAGGCGTTGCGATCGTCCAATATCTGGTCTCCACCAGTGGAACTGCGATGCGTTGAAGGCAAGTCATGGATTGCTTCCTGAGATGGCGCAAATAAATTCGGCAAGAGATCTTCTCCGGAACTATTCTCGAAGGAAAGAAAGCTGACATCGTACAAAAGTCCTGCACGTTGTTTCACGAAGTCAGTATTGGTCTCACATGTACTTGGTAACTGAAATTACGCACCCCCAGAGAACGTTCCAGGTGTGGCGACGCCAAAGCCTTGTCGGGGTGCCTGTACTACACTGGAAGTAAGGCATGTCCGTTCCGAGCCCGGTGATTGCTGGAAGTGTTCGATGGTCGTATCAGGTGGTGCATCTTCTGTCTGCGCCGCTTTACCCTTGTCTGCACGTTTGCCTGATAATTTCACAACCTACGATTAGCTCATCATAAAATCGATTTCTGGATCTAGGAAGCCACTAACGACGAAATCTCCGCTGTGCCATGCGATTTTGGACCCGGCGTCGAGGTTCGAGCGCATGACTGATGTCGGACAACATTGACGGCTCCCGGGCGTAATTCGGCCAGGTACAGAATACAGCGGCGGCCTATAACCTCAACAAGATAGAAAGTTCTTGCTTGAGCTTCCGACCAGTATAGTGAACATAGCGAGGCAAAGGGTGCGTATCACCAGGTCGCTTGGACAGCCACGGCTCGCGTTAGCGGCAGAAATACGACATCAGCTTATATGTGATTCTCTGGCAGTGGCATGCCCGAGGCTCTAGGGTTCGTTACAGCTTACCTACCGGGCTTTGTTTAGAGCGTTAGCCTATGTAAGCTGCACGCCACGGTTAGAGCCAAGTTGAGAACCAGAATGACTGGGTCACGCACAGTTGCACGCGAGGTACGGATCGAAGCGACTGACTTATGAGGCAGACAAGTGCAAATCCCGCGCACTAAGGCCGTATGTCAGAACTAGAGGGGTTCGAGGCGGCAATGATAAGGGTCCACCTGTATGCCAAGACGCACTAACTTACTTCGGCGTGCTTTCCGCGCCCAAGCGATCCTACAAGGTTTGTATGACGATGATGAAAGATGAATAAGCTCCGGGGAAAATAGACTGCGGATACTTGGTATGATACCGTAGCGCCCGGATATAGCGTTGCAGATACCTAAGATGTAAGGATGTCAAAGCCTGAGACATGTTGCAAAACATGTTAGAGCTGTGTTAAGCCACCTTAAGACATGTTAGACTAATGTTTGACCTACCTTAACACATGTCTGTTGTCATGTTACATATGACATCTTCACATCTTTGTATCTATGGTTCTGCATTGCACCATATGTATAGTGCAAGAAGGTAGGCGCTCCCACGTCCGTTGCCACCGCTGTTCATAGTTCTACCCCAGGAAAGCAGACAAGTATGCGAAAGGAGTGGAATGGATCATTGCATTCGCGGTTCAGGCACACTATCTTTACAACAAACTTGTGGTAACTCTACGCCTAGCTTCGGGTACTTCCTCACTCTGCTATAGATTGTGTGTGTCACTGGCCGCTGAAGTCTCACAATTACGGTCTGCCTCTGCTACGCACGGACAATGACCCTCAGCCCTGTGCTTCTCTTCGCAGGCACTGGTATGATCATGTCATAGTTTGCATCAATGTCCCGTTCACGCATTGTAACTCGTACATCTGCAATGTATGGCCTTGCTGTCCTTGGTAAGCATCGTATCTGCGTAGCAATGTTGCTAATGTTTTGCCCATCAATTTACGTGCCATATCCTTCCTGCGACGCGCACCCATTAGCGATAGAAGCTTGTGGTAAAAAAGCATAGACTAACCCAATACAGTTCCTCGTGCCCCTTGCAAAGGCAATGAAGGCTCTGTTCAGCTTTGGGTCATCGATCCATCTTTGTGGCCGGAACTCGTAGTAGTCGATGCCAAACACTTCGGGACTGTAGTGCATGGCGCGCGTCGACATGCCTGAAAGTTGACATAAGTTAGCAGTATCTCATCTGTCTTGCGGGTAGTGGTCCCATACTGTGCGCTATTCCACCGGGGACGATGTAGGTTTTGTCCCGTCGCTTATCATGATATACAATAGGTTCTTCTGGAGAAATCCGAACCTGACGAGACACTACTCCACGGATGTAGCCGCATTGTCTCCTGAATCACCGCATTCAGATAGAGAAGAGTTTCGACTTGCGCCGAAGGTCGGTGACTTATTACCAATCTCAAGGGCTTCGGCCAATTCTTCCTGTACTTTCGTGTACTCTACAGGATGAGCGAGAAGCTCGTACAGAGCAGCGTTCATTGTATAGGCTACCAAACAAGTTCAGCATCATGACCAGATGAGTGGGAACAACAAGCCAGCTTACCAACAGTACCTTCACCAGCGAACACGATAAGTTGTGCTTCCTGGGCCAGTCTGGCGTCGGTCTTCTCTTCTGGTGGCAGATTGCTGCTGAGAACACCTTCGAAGATGGTTTTCTTGATCTGCTCGGGGTCTGGCGAGTTTCGGATGAACCGCACCCTGTCCACCCACCACTAAAATTGTGGTCAATAACGTGATTAAAGGTGAGGGAAGCCTGGCACACACACCTTCTGCTTCTCGTGCAATTCATTCAAGCTGGGCATAAATATCTTGAACGCCCAAAGTGGAATGCTCCTCAACAGAGTCAATACGATCGGGAAGGCAGCGAAGACGTGCGTAAGGGAATGCCATGCGGCGCTTCCCGCTGTGGCGGCATGGCCCCAATCATCGTGATCCAAAATCTTCTGGTTATCACCAAACGCGTAAAGCGTGATTACGTCGGTCGTAAAGGCTCGGAAGACTTGGTGCATACTCAAAATTCTCTCGCTCTTGCCAGGTGTGAGTCCTTTCTCCATCTTCGCGAACATCTTCTCCATATGTTCAGATATTATAGGCTCAAGACGGCGTATACTTGCGACAGAGAAGAAGCCACTGATGGCATTTCGTCGGCGGCGGTGCACATCGTGATCTATTGTACCGGTGATCGAGTCGGGAACTAGGCGCACAAGTCTTAGTCGAAACGTTCGATGTCTGTTCGCATGCCTGGAGGTACGCTTACTCCCTGTCCTTAAGCCTACTAAAGCTGGCTTAGTTGTCTTTCTTCCCCCTACTGGGCTGTACGTATCAATAAAATCTGGATCATTGAAGTGCACTTCATCTGGGCGAATTCGAATGATGGGTCCTGACGGAGTGCAGCGCGTCAACTTCCGTCATTCTGAGTTTGCTACGATGGCACAGCATACCGTATTGTCGATGCATCTCTTCGATCCTCTTGAAGTACTGCGCTCCAAGTACGATGTCGTAGAACGACTCATACAGAGTAGTCATACCTATAAGGTCAGACAGTCTCATCGACTAGCAAGCGTCACGACTACTAACCTGCCAGAACTGGCCCTGGTACGCCAGCAAGTGGGTGAAGTGTTACTGCAACTCTTGCGTTAGCAATTACATACGAATGTTATTGGAACAGCAGGCCAGCCGCATTGCCTACCACGATAGACTGCGAGTGTCACTCGATAGACGAAGTATGCTCCCAGAATATACGACATTCCCTGCATCCAGTCCATTTTGGGTTGGCCATCTCGAACGTTCCTGCCCGCAAAGGCGGAGTAGAATCGAGTAGCTGTGCTGTTCAGCATGTCTTTCACAACGCTCTGCGGGGAGTCCATGGCGACTGTGCTTGACAACTTTAGCTTATTGTTAGATATGTGTCGCAGACAAGACCTCTTAGAAGAGTAGAACACAGCACGCCCCTGTCGGTCTTATTCGTTGTTTCCGAGGTCGCCTTTTATCAAGGTATCTTCCTCGACTCATACGACATGAAACGAAGCGATCCGCATCAGTTGCGACGTCGACAGTATGCGCCGTCATTCTGATGCACTGAAGTCACGCTTACCGTGCGTGATGAAGATTCGCAGTAATGCTCGAATGATGCTTACCCGCACGGGCAAATGCTGCCGGGCTGCAGGCGAAGTAGCACAATGCGAGGGTATCACAGACTGGCCATCGCTTAACATGTATGTACTCTACCGATCCCTCCCGATAACACGCGCAAGCCGCCTGGGGCTGACGGATAACAGCAAGTCTGAGCAACCCATTCGGGAAAGCGAGTAGAATCCTGCCGAGTACGCTAATACATGCCCGCAAACATGCACGGTCAGAATCAGAGTATGAACAACACGGGGGGGGGGAGGGGGGGGGGG